ACTCACACCACTCACACCTGGGCCCGGGTGTGATTTCCTTTTTACTACATCCATACACGTGTCCATAAGTACAGCAATGGACGGAGGGTTACTTTCTGTCCCAGGCTAAGTATGCCAACAAGGTTATCCATCGTGTCGGACTTATTGACACTAAGTTTTTTGATACCCCCGTTGAGCTTAATGCGAAGCTCAACACTACTGATGGTGTTCCTCTGGACGATCCTACGTTATATGGGGGGGGGCGCTGGTAATATTAATACAGCACCCCCCCAGTCACACCATTCACACCAGGTTTTTTAACTAATAGGGAGGCTTTGTACGGCTTGTGTGAGTTCACTGTTTACCACTACAAAATGCTTCGCCAAACCTCTTTCCGTTTTTATGCTAAGAATGTTTTCCTCACTTACCCACAAAGCCCATGCCCAAAAGAACAACTCCTAGAACTCCTACAATCTCTCCTTCAACTAGCCTGTCAGCCATACTACATACTTGTCGCAAGGGAGCTCCATGAAGATGGAAACCCTCAGCTTCATGCCATGGTTCAATGCACAAAGAAGATCCAAACCTCAAACTCGAGATTTTTCGATCTCACTGGAACCAACGGGAGGATCTACCATCCAAATATAGAAAAACTCCACTCCCCAACAGCAAGTAGACAGTATATACAGAAAGAGGGCGAGTTCGTCGAATGGGGAGAATTTTCAGCTAAGGGGAAAAGTCCTTCGAAAAACAGAGACGAACTCTGGAGGGGAATACTTGGCGAAGCAGAAACGGAGGAACAATTCTTTGCTCTATGTAAAGAAAGATGTCCCACCGATTACGTTACAAAATACCCCCAATTAAAAATATTTTCGAGTGATCATTACAAAAGAGAGAGGCCCCCATATATTAGCCCCTTTAATTCATTTCCTTTCTTAAATGAAGAAGTAAAAAAATGGGCAGAAAATAATATTTTGTTTGTAAGTCGAAATTTCGTTCAGTACGAGTTATGTCAAAATTGCTGTCTCTCCGTTTGGAGGGAAGACGACTTCCTTAGATTAGGGATACACAAAAACAATATCAATGATTTATATACTGACGAAGAACTCTCCTCCTCCTCTGATAACAGGAACCAGAGCAGAGGCCTATTCGCCTGGGCCAGAAGCCTCGGACGACACAATTACTTCTCCGGCAGAATAAGCTTCAAGGACTACGACCAAGACGCCGTCTACAACGTCATAGACGACATCAAATACTCGACAGTCCCTACCGAATTAATGAAGAATTTAGTAGGCTGCCAGACAGATTTCCATATATTTGATAAGTTCTAACCAGATCTCACTATTAGAAGAGGAACTCCTTGTATTTTATTAACAAATGGGGACAGTAGTTGGTTAGATGCAATGTCCCAAGAAATGAGAGAATGGTTTGATGTTAATGTAACCACTGTCATGATTAATGAAAAATTTTATTAATTTTATTTATGAAAACACTCAAAACTTTATTTACTTACTACATTTCCCTTATCATCAATTATTACATCTTGAGTCACATCACTATTTTTTACACTGATGATTACATTTCGTAAAACATTAGAAAATTCTGCTGCATCCATAACAACTGGTCCTCTACGATCAACTTCCTTTTTGCTAATACCAACCTCTGAAATCGATGGACCAGGATCAACATCACTAGTGTCATCACCACCTCTGCGTACATCAATCCCTGACAAACTCAGACGACCTCTGCGTTCATGAATAACTGAACCACTTTCTCCAAAATCTCCTAACAGCAAATCTCTTCGCCTCTTCGGTAAACCAACGGACTTAGTCCGTGTCAGAATCGGAATGGCCTTCGTTGGAGGGCAATGCCAAACATCAACATTATCATTAGTATATTTTTTAGATAACACAACAATAGAGGGGGCCCTCATTTGCTAATCTTCTGGCATGTCACTCGTAGAATACTTCAGATACCCCTTCATTTTATAATACGTAACCCCCCTTTTAATATTCGAATTTTCAAGTCGATACTTCACCATCCATGGCACCTGTTTGTCGTTAATTGAACAATAACCATTCCCATAATAGACTAACTCGCATTGAGAATCCACTGGGAAAATAAACCACGCCTGCAAACTGTTATTACCGTTTAACCTCCGATCATAAATATTTACTTTGACCAACCCACTAGCATTGGGTGCGCAAATGGGGGAATATTTTATCAATATTTTATCAACCTTAATACTTTTTTGTTTGTATCTTAACCTCAATTGAGAAAATAAATTAGGCAACGCAAGTTCAATACAACTAAAATCACTTGTTGAAACACCTTCAACAACCCTAGTTTTTATATCGTCCACCTCCATTAACCTGAACATTAGAAATAAAATACATAAAATTACAATTCTAAACAGTTTTAAAGTACATTTGACTCCTTAAAGCAATTTTGCATTCCTTTCCACTAACAGTAGGAGCCACTAAATATATGGCACCCTTTTGAATACTTCCAACATTTCCCAACAGCGTATCTTTGTAGTCCGTCCAAATATCAACTGAGAAGAACCGGTCTACAACTTCTATCCTGTGACAAATGTACTCTTTGTCTTTGCCACCAACGAGCTTGAATCTCATTTCTTTAGCATCCGAAACCGGTCGGACTGGTCAGGATCAACAATCCAAGTCTCAGGATTACCCTCCCTAACTCCAATAAATATCTTGTCAGGTGTGGGGACAGAATCTGATGGACTATTATCACTTATGATGAAAAACAATATGTGGTGGACCACAGCTTCGTCTTTAGCATCTTGTCCCAATTGAACATTCCCAATTAATTTTATACCCTTAACCTCGATCTTGTTTGATTAACGGTCACATCTCTTATTACCCAACTCAATACCGTTAAGCAATCTGGCCACACCTTTATTATCAAATTTAACGTCCCTTAATTGTTCATCGTACAACTGCAACTTCCTTACTCCCCTCTTAGTCTTCTTAATATAACGCGAAATATTCTGAACGTACCGTCGGCGAATGTACGCCGCCTTAAAAGATGCACGACCCCGGTAACTCCGCTTATATTCACTGACCGCCGGTGTCCTTGACCTCCGGTACGCAAAAGGGGTCCGATACTGGCTGCTTCCTATTCCTTTCATTTTTTATAAAACATTCCAAATCTTTTATCTTACAAATTCTGCTGATTCTCTTACCTCTGCTAACCCTTCTGTTCAGACACCTTAGCTTTGATATATTTGCCTCTGCTCCTCGTACACCGGAACAAACTTTGCCGGAGCTGACCGCCAGCTCTCTTCCCACAGCCCTATTTGCCACGTCAAAAAGCGATCTACACACATTTGAGTGAACTGCCTGTAATTATCGGGATACTCTTCTAAGGAGTGCAACATTGTATACCAAATAAATCAACAAAAAAGACAAAAACAAAAGGAGGGACAAAATAAGGTACCAGAAAGCAACTTCACCACAATAGCTATCCCACTGCAAAAGCATATTCCTCTATGCCATAAAATATTTTCTGGTACCAAATATATAGCAAAACTGGCCCGTGTGTAAGGACGAAGATTCCCCATTCAAAATAATTCAAACGCATTTATTTTCCCGCCTTTGCTTTATGTCTATCATTCTGCAAAAATATTTTCTTTACAGCCACGCAAACCATCAGAAGAGCGAAATGTGTATAGCACTATCTGGCAAAGGAATCAAAAGTGCTCACACCACTCACACCTGGGCCCGGGTGTGACTTCCTTTTTATTACATCCATACACGTGTCCATAAGTAGAACAATGGACGGCTCAGATCAGCGGGAGGGGGGGCACTGGTAATATTAATACAGTGCCCCCCCCAGTCACACCATTCACACCAGGTTTTTTAACTAATAGGGAGGCCTTGTACGGCTGGTGTGAGTTCACTGTTTACCACTACAAAATGCCTCGCCAAGCCTCTTTCCGTTTTTATGCCAAGAATGTTTTCCTCACTTACCCACAATGTCCATGCCCAAAAGAACAACTCCTAGAACTCCTACAATCTCTCCTCCAACTAGCCTGTCAGCCATACTACATGTCACAAGGGAGCTCCATGAAGATGAAAACCCTCACCTTCATGCCATGGTTCAATGCACGAAGAAGATCCAAACCTCAAACCCGAGATTTTTCGATCTCACTGGAACCAACGGGAGGATCTACCATCCAAATATAGAAAAACTCTACTCCCCAACAACAAGTAGACAGTATATACAGAAAGAGGGCGAGTTCGTCGAATGGGGAGAATTTTCAGCTAAGGGCAAAAGTCCTTCGAATATGCATGCACCATTTATTTGTCTTGACTGAATCTATGTTTATGATTTCAATTTGTGAACAAGAATGTTCAAATCTACGAAACATGTCCTTTTGTGCCGTAGTTTAATACTTGAGCTATGTTCAAGCTAGTGGTTAATAATAGTTACAATGTCTAGCCCAAAATTAGCCATGACTATTCTAGTGAGTCTTCTTATGGTGAACAAAAAGATGGACCCTACAGCAATGAACATGGGTTTTGATTCAAGTGGGGACGAACAATATTAGAAAGTTTGGGATATAAGTGGCATTAATCTTATAGGTTGCAGTTGAAGATGTTTGCCAATTTGCCATTATTTTTTGGACATGTCTTGGTAGCTAGCTATATGTAACATTCTTAACGTTACTTATCTTCTAAAAGAAAAGCATCATTAATATCATTGAAATGCCACTTATCTTCTAAAAGAAAACATCATTAATATCATTGCAATTGTGGTTCCATGCATGAATGCTTTATCTTAGAACTTTTTCATGGACCCATCATACAAGTTTTCTTTAAAAAGTGTATCAACTTGGCATACACCTCTGTCCCTTCTTTAAATGCAGTCTTCGTAGTTTCTTTGTCTGGAAAATTTTCATCGTCAAGCGTGTGCATGCTGGATATCCTTTCCATTGACAATCTATCTGTTGTTTTCTTATGATTCATTCATATGCTCTTTATGATTCTATCTAGGACTGGAAGTCTTGTGCTGTGGGGTGTAAGTTTGGATTTAATTCTGATAAGAAGGCTGATGCTACTTTTGGGTCACCTCAACTACCTGAGACGGTTGGTGTGCTTCGATCTATGGAATCGGCTCAATACTATGCTGAGAACAGCATGGATCTTGCACGACGGTGGGTAAGCACACTCTGAGATTACTCATTGTATGTACACATTTCAAACACAAAACTGCCAGGCTGTGAGAAACTTCTAGAGCCTTAGTTTATGTTCATTTGTGACAGAATCTTCTGTAAAAAAAACATCTTTTTAAAGAAGTTAGGCCTGCATTTAGCTTGATGTTTTTTCTACCTCTAAGTCTAAGGGCAGTGTTTAATGTCCTGCTAATCTCTAGTTTGATGTTAGTCAACGATTTTGCGTATATTTCAATGTGGATTCATTGTGCATTTGTCTTTTGTGGTAAGTTATTGGTTATGGTTGAAATGTAAAACCCATGTTAGATCAATGTGCAAAGTAAGACATAAATTATGTTGGTGGTGACACACATGCTTGAATAGTCTAGTCATGTTTACGGTCTCCTGTTTTTGAGATGTTTCAGTTGCTTGATCAAACTTTGATTCTGGTTCAAAAAAAAAAAACTTTGATTTTTTCTTTTCCTTGTCTTCATGTTATCTTCCTCTTCCATCTTCATATTAACTATTCAGGACAGTAAGTGAAAGGATAACACTACTGCAGAAAGAGCATGTAAAACTGGTATAATTTTGGCCCTGTGGGGTTTGCTGATGGTCCTAACTCCTATGAGAATGGGAGTGACCCGAATGGAAATGTGGGGCATTTTTCTTGAGAAGATTGGTTACCCATATGTGCAGCAGTGCTGCACAACATACTACTAAAATTGAAGCACTATAATGACCTGATAATTCTCTATTACACTTCTTCCTGTTTCTTAATTGACTTATCTCTATCTCATATATGTATATGTGGATTTTTTTCTCTCTACAAAATAGAAGCTATATTCTAATTTCTGCTTGAAACTGTTAGTAAAACTGACCTCAATTTTTTTCATGTATTAGGAGGGGGTATAGTATTGTAATGACAACTAGTCTCTCGTCAGATGTCCCTGCTGGGTACTTCTCCTGGGCTGAGTATGATATAATGGCTCCATTGGAACCAAAGACAGAGAAAGCTCTGGCAGCAGCTTTCATATCCAATTGTGGTGCTCGCAACTTTCGTTTGCAAGCTCTTGAAGCACTTGAAAAGGCAGACATCAAGATAGATTCTTATGGTAATTGTCATCGGAACCGTGATGGAAGAGGTGCGTTGTCGAATGTTGTTCAGGAACATTAAAGAATTTTCTTAATGTTAAGCAGTACAAATATTTATATGAGGGCATATATCTTGTTTCTGTTTTAAAGTTATATTTATATTACAGTAGAAGTTTTTGCTAGTCTGAAAGCTCTTATCTTATCATTTTTATTTATTTATTTATTATTATTATTTTTTTGTGTGGTGTAAATTGATCTTCCCTCTTGCAATTCATTGTCCTTTCATAAATTGGGCCAGCACGAAGTATCCTTCAATTTAAATTTTATTTTTAGTGTTTATAATTTCTGATATTCCATGGGAACTCTTGTATGGAAGATTTAGCTGACTTATGTCAATTAATTCCATGAATCTGATAACAAATTTCTCTTACCATGTTAAGTCGATCATATTTCTTACCACATCTTGCAGAACTTGTGTGCAATTATTTCTGTTTACAATAATTTTGCAGTGGAGAAAGTGCAAGCTCTAAAGCGCTACAAATTTAGCTTGGCTTTTGAGAATTCCAATGAGGAGGACTATGTAACTGAAAAATTCTTGCAGTCGCTTGTTGCTGGTATGAAAATTAAACTTGTTTTGGTGCATATGGAATACCTGTATGACTCTGTAATATTTCTACGTACACACACATTATTTTGGTGTTTCTTTTTTGTCCCTTTCTTTTTTTGGTCAGTTTTTCTCTTGAATTTGGTGGTTGGCTTCAAGTATTTTTTTTTGGAAGTAGGCTACATTAATCATCCTTTCTTCTAATGATACAGGCCTTGTTTGGTGCCAGCTTATTGCAGCTGCCTATAACTTCTATTTTTTTTTTTTTTTTATTTTGAAAATATGAGTCATAGTATTTGGTGCATGTTCTGCTTATAGCTCATAGAAATAGCTTAAATAAGATGAAAAAGTTGATTATCTGAACGCTGGGGGAGCAGTGCTTTTAGCTTTTGCTCTCTAATTATGAACTTTTAGCTTAAGAAAAGTTGCACCAAACAGATGCAAAGCCGCTCAAATTTGAACCCTGAAATTCATTACTCTTTGAAATAATAAATGTGGAACCAGTCTGGAAAGTATATCCTAAAACAAGGTGGTGAAACTGGTGTTGCTGCTGCTTGTGCTTGAGCTGGCAATTATGGCTAACCTTTTTAATAATTCTGAGAAAATCAAATATCACTTTGTGTTAAGTTTAGGAATAACAATCCTGCCAAAAAAGGAACGTTTAAATGCTATGATTGGGTTTTGCGAATAGTTTTTGATACATAAAGGATGCATTTATTGGTTAAGATGCATAATGGAAAATCTCCATTTTCGGCATCACTCAAGAAATTCTACGATATGTTTAATAGTGCTAAAAATGGGATTTTTTTTTTCTTTCAAAATCTGTAGGTTCTGTTCCAGTGGTTGTTGGTGCACCAAATATCCAAGATTTTGCTCCTTCTCCCGATTCGCTTCTACATATTAGGGAGCTGAAAGATGTTGAGTCAATTGCCAAGACCATGAAATACCTTGCTGGAAATGATGAGGCATACAATCAAACATTAAGGTTAATATCAATTCATGATTATTTTCCGGTCTTTTGATCAATTTTGATTAAAATATATTTCACAGACTGAATATGACATGATGATTATTTTTCAGGTGGAAGTTTGAGGGGCCTTCTGATTCTTTCAAAGCCCTTGTCGATATGGCAGCAGTCCACTCATCTTGCCGTTTATGCATTTACTTGGCAACAAAGATCCGTGAGAAAGAAGAAAAGAGACCAGTTTTCTTGAAACGTCCCTGCAAGTGTACCAGGAGCTTAGAAACTGTCTATCATTTATATGTAAGGGAAAGGGGGAGGTTTGAGATGGAGTCCATTTTCTTGAGGTAAACTTTGTTCGCTTAGTTGAATATTTGGAAATACACATGTAAATGTGTATATGTATATGTATATTCATTTACTTAATGCCTATGGAAGTGTGATAATTGGAATGGATAGACGCATGCATGTACCAAGAATTGATCTGCAACACCCGAATTTAGGAATTTTCTGGCATAGTCATTGACATCTCATATTTTTGGCTGTTTTCATGTGAATTTTAGTGCTAGACATTTTATCTGGGTATTAATAGTTACTGAATTTGTTTTGTTTTGTTTTGTTTTTGTGTGTTGCTGTTCTTTGTTGCTCTATAATCTACTGATACAAATAGATAGCTAGCTTGGTTGGTGTTGCTGGAGGAATTGAAACTTCTATATTTGCAGTTATTTATAAAATTACTGAAATATTTGATTGCTTGGCAAGAAATGGTTTGCTAGACTTCTTTAATGCATCAGTATCAGTGTTGTTTCATCAACTTGTCCAGCTCAAACTTTAGTTTAAGTTTGAGTTTTTTGAATGTTGCAACTCAAATTCAGTTAACAACTGGAGTAACTAAACACAACACCAGAACAAATTCATTATAATTTTGTCTTTTGCCTTGCCCCTTCTTTTTGTGCACGGTGTGAACAATTTTTTGTTTGCAGATCATTTTTTAGGGTTTTAAGATGAAAGTATGTAATCCTTCCAAATTTTTTATGTTACTACTCTCTCTCTCTCTGTGATGAGTCCATTATCAAAAGTTTGATCTTTTACCCAGAATGCTACAGTAATAGATCAAACAACTACATCTGAATATGATGCTCAAATGTTTTCTTTTCTCTTTCATCTTCTCGCCATCAACAGTTTCTGTGACTTTTCTGGACAGGTCGTCAAAGTTGACTCTGGAGGCCTTGGAATTGGCCGTGCTCTCAAAGTTTGAGTCTCTTAAACACGTACCGATTTGGAAACCAGAAAGACCAGAAAGCATAAGAGGCGGTGACAAGCTCAAAATTTACAGAATATATCCTGTTGGCAAGACACAGAAGGAAGCTTTGTATACCTTCAGATTCGAAGGTGATGCCAACTTTAGTAGTCACATTGAAACGAACCCTTGTGCGAAATTTGAAGTCATTTTTGTGTAGATGAAACCGCCATTTTATTGCCTTAAAAGCACTTGACAATTTCATTATTAATTAGCACTTAATTTTTTTTTCAAAGGTGATCTTGGTCGGTTGTTTCACGTGTCTTTTGCTTCATCCTAATTGCTTACATTTTTTTTTTGGGACAAAAATTTGGTGAGAGGCATTTTTTTGGAGTGCAAAGTATATTTATGTGGCTAATGCAGAATCTCTGTAGGTAGCAAATTTACTTAAAAGAGTTCAAATTTTGCTGGTGCATGGAAGTTTTTTACTCTCTCTCTCTCTCTCTCTCTATATATATATATATATATATACACACACACACTATCTATCTTTATTATTATTATATAAAGTCAAAATTTGACAGGTGCTTACGTATAGATCCTAACAAGTGGATTTACTGTCTAATAGGTCCTATAAGAAAAATGTCATAGAAAGAAGTTATTAATTATAAGTTTTTGCGATAATTTATAAAAATCATAACAAAAAAAAGTCATTAATTATCAATTTTTAGCGATGCATGTAAAAAATTGTCACAAAAATTATTTTTAGCAATAATTTTATTAAGATTTATTTTTAATAGAACTTGATGAGAATTAAGTCTTATTATTAGGATTTATTAGTAGTTTACTCAAATTTGACTTGGTGTCTTGAAGCTTTTTTTCCCCTATAATGCCAAGTGGATTTTTCATGTTAATTTTACTTTTAACTAATGTACGTTTACTTCTTTTTATTTATTTATTTTTTTTTTTGTTTTTTGTTTTTTTGTTTTTTAGGATAAATTATAAACACACCTCTGAGGTTTAGTTAAATTATAAATTATCTTTTGTGATTTTAGAAATTGCATTATACTCCCTAAGGTTTTTAATTTCATAACAAATAAGTTATTTTATTAATAAATTATTAAGTTAATTAACAGTTTTGAATAATGTTAAAATTTTATTCAATTAATAATTCAGATAATTTTATTATTGTATAAGTGAACCGTTAGAAATTTTACTTTTTCAATTAATTCTATTAAATAAAAAATTCTGTCAGGGAGGTATATGTAATTTTCTAAACCACAAGAGACAATTTATATTTTAAGCAAATCTCAGGGAGTATATTTGTAATTTATCCTTTTTTTTTAATCGAAAAAAACATAATTTCTCACATACAAAACAATACAATTACTTATTTTTTCATTATATATATTTTAATTTTTAATTTGGCACTAGGCCTCATTTGGGAAATAAAAAATTAGGGTAAATTACAAATGCACCTGTAATAACCCCGACCTTTGATTACTGTTAATTCGTACTTAATTATGCCTAACAGTAATTTAGAAGGAATCTGGGATTAATTTGCATATGTATTGCATTAATTCTGTGTTTCTATCTGTTTGCTATAAAGTGATATGTTTATGTGTTGACTTTGAACTGCTTATTGAAAGCCTTATTGGCAACTGATTCAGAAATTAATTAGTGTTATACTAATTAGATTTTATGTGATTTGATGGTAAGCTTAATTAAAACTCGATTTGGAGTGTGTAAATTAGATTAAATAATGTTGAATTGCATTAGTTTGCCTAATTACACAAATGCCACTTAGTGGCTTGATTGAGGCCAACTTTATCACACCTTATTACACTTAGAAGCATCTCTTCTTAGCCATTTTTCTTGACCAAACCGTAGGAGAGAGAGAGAGAGAGTAGGAGAACAAGATTGAGTTCATCTAGAATTTTGCTTGAACTTAGAAGAATTGAAGGCAACTTGGAAGATTAGACTACTAAGCTTGAAATTGAAGACCTAAAGGTAGAGAATTCATCATTTTAATTATGAATGTGAGTTGTTCTTACTAGGTTCATGGTGAACTTGGTATTTAAGTCAAGATTTAGCTTAAAATGTGGTTTTGAGAATCTATCCATGCATACATGCATAAATTTCCATACTTTGAGTTTGAATTCTAAGATTTCTTCCATGCATGTGTTAATTTCACTCACATTATGGTCATCCATCTTGTTGTCCATCAAATTATCAAGTTTGATCATGTTTTGGAGGGTTTGGATTCAATGAGATTCTTGCCTGTTGTATTAATGGCATGTTCTTAGAGTTCATGTTGATTTTGCACAAATTGGGTTGCTCTTGGGCCATGATTTCTTGAAATGATTTTTAATGCATGTTGTTTTATGAGTTATTATATGTTTCCTCAAATATTGGCCCAGAAAAATGAGTTTTGAAGGCTTAAAGGTTGAGTTTCATGCTTAGAGGTCAATCTGGATTTTCTAGAAATTTGACCTACGCTCGAGCGGGTACTTTCACGCTCGAGCGTGAATCTTGAGTACATGCACTTCCGCTCGAGCGTCGATTGTTACGCTCAAGCGTGAAATGCGTATACCCAGGAGTTTGTCTGTTTTGCAGTCCGCTCGAGCGGGAGAACCCACGCTCGAGCGAGACTCTGAGTCTCACGCTCGAGCGGGGGTCGAGCACCCGTCAAGCGTGAAAATCTTGCATCCAGTACTTTTTTCGATTTTACAGTCCGCTCGAGCGATTAAGTTCACGCTCGAGCGGAGCTTCAATATCTGTATGTCCGCTCGAGTGGGGTAATCCACACTCGAGCGTGGACCTTATCTTCAGCAAAATTTAGGAAATGGTTTTCAAGGCATTTTTGCATCCTCATTCCATCATAGGCATTCCTAGGCCATGTTTAAGGCCCTTTAATAAGGATTAAAGGTTAGAAACACACTAAGAGCCAGCAACGTAAGTTTTGTACAATTAGAACGTGTGTTTCAAGTGTGTATCTGTTGTGCGTTATGTAAGTCACGTGCCGCGTTCTGTCTGACTAATCTGCTTCGTCTGTTAGTCTCAAGGCCAACTGTGAGTAATAACTTAGTAAAGTTATGTTCAACTGAATCTATTTTCTGTGTGATAAAATAAGATCTGTTTTTCGAAATGATATGTTCTGTATAATGAATGATTGTTCAATTTCTGATATGTATTCGTGGCATCCTTAGCATTATGTGATATCTATTGGCTGTTACCCGGTATCGGAGATTCCTTTATGGAACTTATATCCGTCTGCACTCTGTTACTCGTACCGGAGGCCCCGTCATGGGGGCTCAGCTTCTGTTCTGTTACCCGAATCCGGAGATTCCTTTAAGGAACTGGTTACTTGTAACCCTCACGTGTCTGCCTCTGTTCTGTATTTGCTCTGTTATTGCTAATGGATGTATCACGTAAACTTAAGCATGACTTATTATTTCTGTATATGATCTGGACCAATTATGGATTTGATACGAAACGGAATTGTGATTTCTGAATATGTACGGACTTATTCATTGAAACTCCTTTACTCTGTTATTATTTATTGGGTTTTCGCTCACAGTTTATATTATGTATGTAGGTGAGTCGGCGTGTGACCAGGGCCAGAGTTGACGGCCTTCTGTTATGTTTTTGTCAGCCAACCATTGTGCCTCCCGAGGAGGTTTCAATCGAAGTCTAATGCCATGGCTGTTTTTGTATTCACGCTAGTCTCTGTGACTGTTTTGTAAAGTCAGGTCTTGGGATGTACACTTCTGTAAATACTTTGTATATATTGGCGTCCTTTGACAGACATGCTCTTGTATATATATATATAAGTTTTGAAATCTACTGTCTCATGTACGTTACCACAGCTCATTGGATATTGTCTATTTTATATATTTGCTTCCGCAGCCCCTTATTATTTGCTAATCTGTCAAGAGGCCTTTGGTAATCCAAGAATTACTGGCCGGTTACGATGCTAGACCTATAGGGGCGGGTTTGGATCGTGACAGCACCCCTTAAGATTTACTTAAATTATAAATTACTTCTGGTTCTAGAAATTACATTATACTCCCTAAAGTTTTTAATTTCATAACAAATAGGTCCTTTTATTAATAAATAATCAAGTTAATTAACAGTTTTTAATAATGTTAAAATTTTATTTCAATTAATAATTCAGATAATTTTATTAATGTATTAGTGAACAGTTAGAAATTTCACCTTTTCAATTAATTCTGTTAAATGAATAATTCTGACAGGGAGATATTTGTAATTTTTAAAATCACAAGGAGGAATTCGTATTTTAAGCAAGCCTCAGGGGGTATACTTGTAATTTATTCAAAAAATTTAAAAACCTATAACCTATATCAAAAAGTCAAATATTCTATTTTCTCTCTATTTTTTGTACATCTTTTTATAAAAAATCAAAAATTCATTCTAAATATACAAATTTTTTTACGAAAAATGTTTGGGACCCCTTTTTGGGGATGACCCCCACACCCCCAAAGTAATCCTGACCCTCCATGTATGAGTGAAACCTACTTATGTATGTGCGGGATCCACATCATGAGTGATTCAAATTTGTGGAGGGTCTTGTGAGAATGAAGGTCCCAATCATTACTCTTTTTTTATCTTACATTTTAATTAAAAAATCAAAAAAATTATTAAAATAGTCTATTTCCAAACGATGCCTTAGCTATATATACAGAGTCGAGAGGAAGATCTATATGGATCCAAATTTTACTTGTTGATCTACTAATCATTTTTTTTTTCCAACAGTTGGAATAACTATTCATCTCATTTATAAGATCAAATCTTATTATTCACCATTTTTTTTTCAATTTTATTACGTGTTTACAAAAAAAATACTCAAAATTATGTAAACAAAATTCATTCTACTTAAAAACACAAATTTTAATTTGCTTCCTATGCATAATTGAAATGATTTTTCCCCCTCATTGCTTGTTGGGTTGTGTTTTGGGATGTAACTAATTGGTCAAAGTGATAGACGTGTCACAAGTTATCCTGGGTGGGTATATTCTTGGAATGTCCTAAAAAAAAAAAAAAAAAACTTTTCTAGCCTCTATTATTAGTATTATTATTATTATTATTTTATTTACGTGCCACTTTTTGTGGCCTGGTTATGTGTCCTTTTTCATAAAGTTATCATTTTGCCAGGAATTTCCTCACTTAGATGGGTCATGTAAGAAAAGTAAAAATTATAGAAAGTGAAACAAAAAAAATCAAAATAAAATGAAAATTGTTTTGATTAAGATAAAATTTTAAAAGTCTTTTAATGACTTTTATGTGGAAATAAAAAATATATATATATATATATATATTTTTTATAAACTGTCACATTATTATTCTAGTATGAGAATGGGGGTTCATGATCATAGCTATAAAAAAAAAAAACTAACTCTCTTGTAATTTTTACCATTTACATGTTAAACAAACATAATTTTTAATTTTTTTT